TCTAGTAATCAAGTTCTTGCCGCCTTAGGCTACCGCCTTGCTTGCCAAGTGGTTAAACTGGCCGTGTTCGTAGCAAAGAGTATATTTCTTTTCCTCGTCTTACGGAGTGTAGTGGTGCACTGGTTTATTTTGCGTTCAGGATAATCCGCCTTCGAATCTTAGCCCGTAGACCGGCTGTACTAACTCAGGATTTTCATGGTTTCTGTTGGGGCATTGTTGACTGCGCTGAACTTGTGCATTAATTTTGTCGGTCGGTTGCAGTCAGTAAAGTCAGTCTGTGTCTTAACCCTTTGTAGTCCCTTTTAGATACCACTACTGACTGCTCTCTGCTGGTCTATTTAAATGCCAATACGCTGTATACATTCAACTACTTTTATGTCCTGTTTGGATTTTCTATTTAACTTGCATAAAACGGAAGACACTTTGCTAAAAATGGTGAAAATATGTTCTGATAGGATCACAATTCCTCTTTTTGAATACTGACCGTGTGAAATATTTTTCACGGACTGTACCACTGTCGATATTGAGATGTGTAATATGTGTTGCCTTTCTGCTTCCCGTCGTACGGTAGAGAATAAAGCAAGTCCAAGTCATATGACTTTGGCGAAGTCTAAACATCTCCTATTGCATGCAGATACACGATGTATAAGCATTGGATTTTATATTCTCAGAGCTAAGCTTCCTTTCGTGAGCGATTAAATGCGAGCTGTGCGAGTTGCGTTGGTGAAGCGGAAATATCAAACTGGCTGTTTGTGTGGCGCTGTCTTAGGTTACAGTGAAGCGGTCAGCGGACAAAGTCCGGGATCAAATATTTTGATATTTTCACGTGAGTCGCTGCGCTGGCCAGTAAGGCGCATGCGCAAGAAAACTCCGACCGTGCAGTACACTGAAGTTGCATGCGCAGGAAGGCCGTGTGTTTCTCTCACGTAGGACACAACAAGCGATTCCCCGCTTCATATGACATAGATCGCTTGTCATCGCTAACGTAGGACATTGCCTAAGCGTCCAAAATATACAATTTCCTACTAGGAAGATGGGATATTAGTTTTATAACTTTTTCAGATATAAAATACCTCTATTCTAAGGAAATATGACAGCTACACACACGAGTATATTACTTCACTCTATGATGTATGACAAAACACTTGGTGTGGAATCCTGGCTTCCTTCGACACGTGCCAGAATAAAATGACTTTTCTCTCCTGCCTCATTTCACTATTATGAGGTACACAAAGTATTACCAGGAAAACTAGGATATAACTAGTACAAAGAAGAAGGCTTGAAAGCTATGCTGACACCGTTTGCCAGTCTCAGTTTGACTCCAGATCACGTAAAAAATTTGTAAAATACGTGGCGGACCCCGTCCGACATCGGACCGGAACTCGAATATTTAAATGTCGGACTCAGTCCGACAGAGACCGCAAAGGGTTAAGAAAGCCGCTGTATCTGCAACTGAATTCAGAATAAAAGAGAGAATCTCGTAGTCACTGATGTGTATGTTGATTTTCCTTGACACCGTCTCTGTCCTGTGACGTCACTGCAACAGTTCAGACTTTGACCTTTCGCTAACCTAAGCTGCTAGCTCATCGCTGGAATCGTCATCACAAGATTGATGAAGTGGTTGGCCTTACATGCCACGATATCGCAAATGCTGACGCAACGGGATACAAATGCGAAGTTGTATCTTTCTTTACGGTCATGTGTTTCAAAAACGTTTGTCTCAACCGCCAGCCTACGTCCAGATCCACCCCAGCTGTCTCTGCATTTGGTATCGGGGGTTTCTTCCGCTGAGACAAAACAAGTTGATCACTCGCTTCCGTCTGGTTATACATAGGTTTAGTATGCGTGGAGCTCAACGTCCATGCCTCTCATTTGTCTCGTTGGGGAAGTGCCAAGTATAGACTAATTCTTTGGTTGTTTTTATCAGACTGTATACAGCGTCGTATGAGATTGGAAACGAATGATGAGTATTGTTTTGGCTCTACCCCATCTTCGGTGAATATTATGATATTTGCAATAATCAGCCGGTGTAATAACAAATGTTATGTTGTGCATTATGCGAGTTATATTTAATACACACGACATTTCGAGAGTTGACCATAATCTAGTCTTTAAATAATACGTTTTATTAAAATCACAGTTACTTCTCTTTATTTTCCTTTTCGATATTCATGCAAATGGTTGGGATCGATCTCGATACCTTCTGCATAGTTAATGGAGTTTAATATAAGATTATGAATATGTGGCTTCAGACTTTTTGCCCTGTCGAAGGACTATTAATTACATATGGTGGTTTAGGAATGAAAATAATGATTCCCATCACACCGCAGACTTATCAGCTTCATAGAATGTTGCAGGAAGTCTTTCTTCCTTCCTAATCTCCGGACGTGCAGTGACCGTAACACCCACGCCCATAATGAGCGGATAGTTCGACCAGAATGCGCCAAGGAATCGGAATTTTGTAAATGTGATGGAGCAGTTAAGCACTTAAGTTCTTTAAACCTCTGAAGTCGAAGCTTGTCTGAATAATATTTAAGAATGCAATCCGTACCTGAAAACACATTTCTCCTCTGCGAAGACCAACTGGTTAACTCCGTTTAATGAAACAATAGCTGTTCATTCTGAGAATCATAGAAAACCCATAAATGAAAATACAGAGTTACTGATTGTTAAATCAGACACTACACTTGGTAACACTGGGCTTAAAAGGTTAAACATTTTGTGTAATTTAAGCAAGTACGACTCTGCGACATGCGACACAATTTGGTTACCACCTCTTTACCGGCTTCCGACAAATATTTTCATTTTCGTTCTTATCAGTATGAACGTCGTGGAGTTGGAAACCGATAGTTGTTCCTTTCAGATATCGAAAAAGCAACGTTGCATGTCATTTTAACACAACAAAACCGCGCTGGACGAAAGAGGTTCGAGTTACGGCAAGGACAAAAATATTTCGATGGATGTTAGGTGGGCCTCAGAGCCAATATGGGCATTGTGAGAAAGAAACATATGTCCTGCTGGGAACAGAGACCCTATCTCGCAGACTGTCCATTCACTCCAGTAAGTCACCTCGTCTCAGTTTGTTGAAGCAGACACCAGAAAAACAGAGCTAGCAAGGGTCGATTCAGAACGACCCAAAGTCAAATAATTTTTTTAAAGATAGTGATTGACGTTCGGGCTCTACAGAAGAGTAGGATTTGTAGACGAAGTCAGTAATAATAAACTTTAGAAGGAAGAATTGTCAGAGGGCTCTTTAGATTTTACAGCTGCTCTTTCTTACCGGTGGTCATTGCGTTCTTGGACCAGTGTTTTTCGTTCGTGGCGTTGTTAGTACCTCTGTCGCTGTCCTTGTGTTCTTTGTACATTGTAAGCACACAAAAGACTGCTGAGTGGTTTGTTGCGCTGTCGAATAGCGTGTCTGTTACTGGTCAGTGTTTTTGGTGAATTGTATGGCACACTTTGTTGCTATTAGTGCTTTTTTCAACTATGTAGTGTATGTGAGTCACTTAGTGTGCTTTTTGTTGCGTTGTGTAGTGTATTTTAACCCTGGTTTATACGTTTTGTTGTGTTGAAAATTAAGACTCTCCAGAGCACATTTATATTACGTTTTACCACAGCCAGTACACGCATACGCAGCGCGGCGGGTGAGAGGGGGGGTCTGCGGGACGACTCCTTTAACCTCCGTCCAGGCCCCAACTTTAGTGGGGAGCGGTGCCGAGGAATCCACCCCAGCAGTCGATCCTTTAACCGGTCGCCCGGCCACTATCCCGGTGTACGCCGCGCTGACCTCAGCGTAGCTGAGTTGCTGGCCACCGGAGGTGGCTTGTTCGCCCGTGGAACTGGTGGGTCCAACCACCGGGCCGGAGAACTTTCGCCGGACCCGTCTCCGGACAGTGGCTTCGGGCGCCGGGGCCAATTCGTTCCCTTCCTTTCTCCTATCACCAGAGTAGATCCACAATCCGGGAAGAACCACCTCTTATATATACGTTGAGGCCGCCAAGCAGAGTAGGAGGGGTCATTTCAGCGAAACTGCTTTATGCTGATTAGGGCTTTTGAAGGATGTTGTTTGCCTATGTAACAGCAAGAGACGAGGAAGTAGGGGCAAGTGAATGGGGCATTAGAAAATGAAGGGGAAATTGGAGAGAGTCGGCGCGCGCACTTCAATTCCGTTTACTGCATCTAGCCACACGCAACACGTTGCCAATTGTCTGTCATTGGTCTGAGCGGTGAGTAGTGCAGGACAGTGAAGAATAACAATGTCGTCATTGTGACTTTTGAAGAAGAACGCGAGACAAAGTGTCACATATGAACTCGTATGTACATATAATTCTTATGCTCGTTTCGTTTTTGTAATGTTGCCGTATTATGTTCTTGGATTAGTTTCTTTTTTGTTTGCATGTTGTATAACTTTTTACACTGATAAGACATAAATGTGATAAGGGCAGGGTATAAAGGACTGCAATATGTGTGACTTGTTGAAGGAGTGGGTTGAATAATCATGTGCGTGGTACTACCGAAGCGTTAGTGGGATATACAGATCTTTTCCTTCACGAAACCGCAGGCAGACGTAATTTGTTATCTCGTTTAAGTAGGAAGGAAAAGGAGTGTGGACGGGAGAACTGATTAGGCGACCCGAAGATGATAACGAGCTACATAAGGTCGCCGTTTTTTCAACACTGGTGAGGCTTCATATAGTTCAGAAAGGAGTTTTGTTTGTCATGCTGCTTGTGCGACACTATAGCTACTCCTGGTCTGCGGACTGTAGTCATTGCCCTGGCTGACGTGTTCGTGTTTTACCACAGTGTGGACATTATATGTATAATGCTGTCCTTTTTTCGGTTTTCCCAGTGACGATAAGTTTTAATAATGTGAATGTTTCATACCAGAACTCCAAGTGCACTTAACAAAATTGGATAACGCACACAACTTAATAAAAATAAAACGAAATGTTTGTGAAATGTTCATGAAATGTTGGGTTTTTTGTAACAATGTACGATGTTGGCGAATATGCTAATGACTCAAGTCGACTATCGTAGTTAAAGTCAAATTGTATGGTCGTTGATAAAGATCGAGTTTTTTTTACAGAAGTACATTCTTGATAAACTGGTTATTGAGTGATAAACGATTTTAACCTTCACAAACTAGTTGTAAAAGGATGTGGCACGACGGTTAGGAATAGGCAATTGTTTGTTTTTGTGCGTTGAACTTCCTAACAGTGACTTCTCAAATATCGATAGTGGATTAGTGAAAAAAGAATACTTACCATTAAAGGCTTACAAAATATAGATTTTGAAATGGTGAAAAAAATCCGGAAAATGTCATAGTGTCATTTCTACCGATTAGTTACCGATAGATTGCGATGTTAAGATATGTCGATATACGCACAACCATTATTGTAGTGAATAAACTTTCGTGATGGGTGATGTTATGCACATATCAGGAAAATATTGTCTACCGCATTGCGGGAAGCAGATGATTTCCAGTAAACAGCTTCTCTCGATGAAAATGGAATTTCCAAGCAAAAACACACAGCATAGTTTTATTTGGCGAGGTGCATGAAAGGTACGTATGACTGAGAGTGCTGCGTAATATGCTTACAAAGTATTGCGACTGAATTTTGTTGCATCCAATGGCACTCTTGTACTTTTAATATCGATAGTACTAAAACAGTAACGATCGTTTTCCCAGAGACTTCTTTATCAAAATAGTTTCGCAGTTTTGTCCTTTCTACCCTAGCTACAAGCCTAGTCCATCTTTATCTCTTAGATTTGATCACCCTGACAATAATGGGTGGTCTGCATAAATCACGAACTTCCTCATTTTGTAACTGACGTGTCCAAATTTCGTAATGTACGCTCCTCCCTCAGAGTAAAGGTACCATTTGGCTGCACGCGACAGAGACAAGCGACCGGGGCAGGCGACAGAGACGGGAGACGGACACATCGCAACTTGTCGCCACACACTTTGGAGGTGACGACCGAGACATGCGGCACGCCAGACATACGTGCACATATTCTGTGAAAAATGAGTACAAAAATGCTTCTAAAAAGGTTAATCGAAGAAGAAGAAGATGATGTGTTGCTGTGTTATTTGTTGCGAAAGAAACAAAGAAAGCCTATTCAAAACCAGACGTGAAGAAGGATCTTTCTGTCTGTTAATAAAGAATCATTTATCATTACAATATTCCCATCCTTGTATGACTCGACCTCAGGATCGGTCAGTGGTCGGTTTTCTGCTACTAATTCTACCAATTGCTCATCTTGGTCACCAGTAAATTTAATTTCTGCCATTATTTTACTCAACAACACACGTGCTGCCTGAGCCCGTCGCGAGACACTACTGGTCCGAGAGCGGTCTCCTGTGCTTTGTCTCTGACGCCTGTCTTCGTCTCGCGCTCATAATTGTACTTCATACGATTGTACAAAGAGCAGACAGGAAGCGACCAGTCTCGGTCTCGTAACTCTGTCGCCTGCCTCGGTCGCTTGTCTCTGTCGCGTGTAGCCAAATGGTACCTTAAGAGGTACGTTTCCCAACCATTAATATAACAATGCTTGAAGTATATGAACGCGGCCATTTTAGCTTCAAATACTTTCTCAATGAAAGAAAGCAGGCTTATTGTGTATAATGAATTTTTCTCGGGCTACCAGCCGTGTAAGGTGGTTTCATGGGCTGGTAGCCCGGGAAGAATTCATTATACTTTGTCGCCGTGAAAACTTCAGATCATACTTGCTTAATGTGTGCCTCATTTCGAATCTTGAACGAGATGAACGATTTTGACGAAACGACTGAACGTTGTGTTATTGGAGGTCACTTCCTCCTCTTTTAGTTTGGACATTTCGGACGAAATTAGGGACAGGTGACGGTTTTCTGTGAATGTAGTAATGCATCTTCGTGTCTCATAAAGAACGGCAGTGTGCTTTTCAAGAAGTGTGCTTAATGAAGTGAATGGGTATATTCGTTATTTAGTTACAATAGTATCAGGTTCTTGTACGAGATGTCGCACGTAACTCGGAAAACCCACGTACCAACATACAACTGCGATGTTCTGCAATGTTATTAACGCGTGACGGGTTCCACGTCAAGTGGAGGACACTTCTTTCGAGGCAGGCTCCATCTCCGTCCCTTGGTTTAGGAACAAGTTGCTTGTTCTCTTACTTTTCGAATGTAACTAAAGAATATTTGATTATTTTGATGCCTTGTTGCCGGTCCAAGCAACACGTTCACGTCGCGATACAACCCCCCTGTGAAAATATTCAATATGATTTGGGGTTTTCACAGCGGTGAGTATGAAGATTTCTGTCTTCGGGGTTGTTGCGCTGTGTAGTCTGGTCGATGTTTACCAACGTTTCAGAGGTCATACTGCCTCCGTCTTCAGTGCGATTATCTGGTTTACAATTAAAAATTCATTGTTTAGTTTTGAGGTTTTCACAGCGGTGAGTATGAAGATTTCTGTCTTCGGGGTTGTTGCGCTGTGTAGTCTGGTCGATGTTTACCAACGTTTCAGAGGTCATACTGCCTCCGTCTTCAGTGCGATTATCTGGTTTACAATTAAAAATTCATTGTTTAGTTTTGAGGTTTTCACAGCGGTGAGTATGAAGATTTCTGTCTTCTGGGTTGTTGCGCTGTGTAGTCTGGTCGATGTTTACCAACATTTAAGAGATCATACTGCCACCGTCATCAGGGCGACAACCCAGAAGACAGAAATCTTCAATATTAAATACGTTAAGTTCATATGAATTTTATCTGAACTTATCTAATCTGATATGTATCTTTCCATATGTATAGTCTTTATGCTGTGGGCCTGACATTGACATTACCAATATCAGTTTCCCTTCCAATAAAATCAGTTTTATTAGGAATAAATGGTAAACATGTAGCTTAATATTTCTTAAGTGCCCGTTTCCTCACTTCTCTGTGTTTGCTAATATAGGCCTGCCCCATATTTTTTATGTTTTCTGTATTCCTACCTCGCGGCAATTCTGGACGCCTGTTATGGATTCTGAATTCTGTATCATATTACATTACATTTAATTTATCTTCTCCAGTGTCGGTTCCCTCCATTCATCGTTCCCTGGCATCCCGGCACGTGTCACAGCTTTCTTCCTCTCTACATTCCAGACTTACCCATTTTTCTAAAACTTTCTCAGGTCCCTTCAACCTCAAAATCCTCACCTCCCGCCACACCAATCCTTCCCTTCTTACCTCGTACATGTTTGTTGTATGTAGTCGTTGTTCCAGTTACTTTTGATTTAATGAAAACGCCATTACTATCCTATCCCTCCATAAAATCGTTAAATTTTCTGAAATCGGGGTGTGTGTTACATTTGATGGCGCATTTGAATCGATATAGCGTCCACCCCCCTGTCGAAAACTTATTACTAAATCAAGGGTGCTTTTTGAAATCGATGGCATCTTTAAATTGAGGTAATAGGTATATTTCCAGACGACTTTAAATAGATTCTCTTTCACGTTCATACTTCTTTCTTAGTCGTGTTGCCCGGTATAATAATAATATATAATACACGTAACAGATATTAAAACAAAATGTATTTCGGAAGTAGCTGCTGCACTGTGTTCCTCAGGGGCAAGGTTCTCTCGGGTACATAGAAGTAAATACCCTGTAAAGTGGTGGATAGATGGAATAATAATAGTACGTAATCGTTTTCTTATAAATGATGCATCCTACAAGCATTGGCACATTTCGTTTTATTGTAAATCTCTTTGAGCTCTAAAACATTTTAATTTGAAGGACTTTTCGATGTCGTGAATATTTAATTACATGAAAGTAAATGTAATATGGCTCGCTCGCTGCAACGTGATTAGGTTGGCAACACTACATTTAGGGTCTTCATCTGCGGAGAATGAAGATCAGAGTTAATGAGGCATGCAAATTCGTAAAGAACGCAGTTGTAAAACGTGGGCGTAACTAACTGGAGCACACCGTTCCCACTGTTTTGCTCCTGACAAGTTGCAATTCGCAGTCTAGTTTCTATTCCCTGAAAGCCTATGTGACGGAACGTCGCGGTCGAGTGGTTGGCACTATTGTTTCATAACGGGAAGTCTAGGGTTCGTATCTTTGGCGCGGAGACAGACTATCATGACAAAAAGTTCGTAATTTTTCTCAGTCACTCCAGGCAACTTCCAGTGCAGTGCCTTATATCGGGCCACGCCCGCATCCAGCCACATTTTTTCAGTTACTTGTTCACGAATCGCTTTATCGACGCTGTATAATCAGAGCTGTTGACTGCGTCGTAAAAAGACTCATGTGAGCTGACGTATCATTTTTCTGGGCTCTACCGTGTCATACTGAGAAGGAAAACTGGGAACTGTTTTATTGGCAATTGTATTTCCTGCAAAAGCCTTATAACCAGCCGGACATTTTTTACGTCCTTACGCTGAAACTGCTTTCATTATTCTTATATCAAATTCGTTTATGATTGCGTAATGGAGTTCTATGAATTAAAGCTGAAATCCCTTCGAACAAAGGTGATTATAATGAGTGGGACTCGTGCGTATTTTCTCGAAGGAATGAGACCAGTGAGGCATTTTTATAAGAAAGTCTCTCGAAGGTGAGAGACCATATTTATATTATAAGCACGTTTCTCTGTAAAAGAAACCATTAAATAAATGTACTGTAGTTGTTACTTCTTTTGATATTCGATCCCCGTGAGAGACCCTGAGTTAGCTGACGCAAAAACCTGACAGTGGAACCACGGTTTCGGAGAATCTGACGTAAATACGTCTTTGTATTTAAATTATATTTAGGCAATAAATACAATGAAAGGAAGTTCATATATTAGCTTTATTCTAAATATCCCCTTTATACATGCGTTACAATTGAGTAAATAGTTTGATTAAGACATTGCTTATTTAACTTGAATTAGTTGCTGTTGAGCTAGCAGCAATTCTACATCACTTGACAATTCTATGTCTTCTTTCCATTTTATATTTTCATCCACGACAGTTTGTTGTTTTTGGAAAAATGCATGGTTAACTGTAATGTTGTAATGTTTGTAAGTTTGTACAATGGGGTATTAATCAAATAAGTAAGCCAACGTTTTATTGTATCTAAAGTGGATACACAAATCCATTACTCCTAGACAATATAGGTATTTGCTGCTTATTTAAAGATAGCCAGCATGTTGTGCATACCTTAAATTGGGATACATTTTCATTTACAAACTCCGTACCCAATATAT